TAGTTACAACATAGCCAAAATGGCTAAATCTCTTACGGTTTCTAAGTATTTTGCTTCTCTCATCAATGCTCCCAATGCAATACTGCTGAACCAAAACTTATAGAAAATTTCAGTGATGTATCTGAACAGCAAAAAAACAAAACAAAAAAACCCAATTGCTTATCATCACAGATGCAGTCTGTGTCTATGGATTCAACCACCCCTGGGTTGAAACTAAATTTAAAAAAAAGCAAACCTTGGATGTTGCCATTTCATATAAGGGACATTATTTTAATGTGCCATTGTACATAATGGGACGAGCACCCATAGATTTTGGTATCCATTAAGATCCCTGGAACCAGACTCCAACAACATAGTTTTCTAAGACAGCTTAATGATATTTCTCAATCACCTGTGAAACAACAGCAAATATCAAATTTTCAGCAGAATTTTTAAGGTGACATCTACTCGTGTAAACCTAGTTACCCTTTCCCTATATGGTACCCATACCCTATATGGCTACCCTTTCCTCCCCGTATTTTTATACAAAAGAGTAGCCAGAGGCTTCCAGCCAGAGTTGCAAGATTGTTGGCCATTGATGACTCTGTGTGAGAGGAAAAAAACACTAAATTACTTCTTCTTCCCTATGGGGACAAATAATGATCAAAAGCACATCTCTACCTCTAAGTAATCCTGAGCTTTCTTCATACATTGAGCCTTTGGGTTTTGAATTCCTATAATCTTACCATTCAATGTTTAGGAAAACATTTAACATGAATTACAGACCCATAGATCCCACTCTTGAAAGAGATGATGAGAAAATGAGAAAAAAAACTGGAGAAGAAAGAGGGAAATGTATTGCTTAATACGGATGAAAGGAAGGAAGGAGGATGTAAGGATATATTCGCTACTACTGAAGAAAGCGGGGGCGGGGGGATTAAAGAATTGAATAGGTGTTTAGGAGCAAAATACACATGTATATGTACCCCAAATCAATAGAATACGTGGGTCACTGTGAATATTGATACCTGATAAGTATTTTGGCATACTTCTGCAAATTCTTGGGTTTACTAATTAGTATGATGTGGAAAAAATCCCCCCTTTAATCCAGAGTATATCTGGGTGCGCCTGCTCATAACTGGCTGTTGTGTATTCCAGATACTCCAGTAGCAGTGCTCATTAAATATACATTAAAGAAATATTAATGCACAATAAGGGCTCTGTGCAGACAAGCTCAACAGCTAGACGATGCCGTCTCCCTCTATTTGAAATATTCTTGACACCCTCCTGACCATCACCCTCTAAGACCAAGACGTTAGGATGAGTTAAGGTTAAGATTTAAGTCTGAGAAGCAAACTGAGATTGTACCAGGGTTGGCAGGTTAGACGTCCACATGGTTTGATTATGAAGATAAAGCATTGAGGTTTGATAGCATGTGCACACGTGTGCACAAACAGAAGGAAAGAGAGAGAGGGATGGATTGGCCATATGTTCTGAACATATATTATTTTAGTCTAAAAATTTCAAAGCTAAGAATAATGAGATTTGTGTGAAATAGTATATCATTTCTCAGCTAGAACCATGGTTGGTTTTTTTTTCCTTTGGTGGGGGTGTCATTGTAAAATCTTATTTGAGGTTTCATTTTATGAAAGAAAAACTAGCTCCAACATATGTGTGACATTTCCATGAAGGTAAAACTGATATGCATCTAATTTTCTTTTCTCTTGGTTATTTGGTTGAAAAAAAGTTAATCTTTCATTCAAATGAAATCCTAACCAAGTTATAACCTTGTGAGAATGAGTATCTGTGAACCTTAGGGTGCAGTTGCACTGTAGAATTAATGAAGTTTGACATCACTTTAACTGAATGCTATGGAATCATGGGAGTTTGTAGTTCTGTAAGGCATTTAGCCTTCTCTGTCAAGAGTGCTAGTGCCTCATCAAACTACAAATCCAAGGATTCCATTACACTGAACTAAGGCAGTTAAAGTGTGTCAAACTGCATTCATCCTACAGTGTAGATGCACCCTTAGACTTCCCTCTCTTCTGTTAGGACCACAAAGAAACCAAAGGTGTGTGTTTTTGTTTTGCATTAACTGCAGTTTAGGTTGTTATCCAAATCTTAAAACATGGTTACTCTTAACTAGAGCTAATTAAAGCAATCCAACTCTATATACAGTTGACAGATGTTTGTTCATTTATAATAAACATAGTTAAGGGGTGGGGGGACGGGGACAAGTTTTCCTGCATTTGGATGGGATTACAATCAGAAGAGAATGCTTTAGAGCTCTTTGTGCATTTTTGGAGAGGAGAAGAACTAATCATGAAGCTCACTGCAGAACATTTTCATACAGTGAAATATTAAATAATGGTTTTGTTTTATGTCCAGTCAGGCTAAAGGATAAGCTAATGACAGAAAGCGAATGAGTTAGTATTGATGAACTAATATTGCGTGGAGCTGACATAAAATATTTGATGTTTCATTTGAATGAGGTATGTTTGTCAATATATTCATTTAGACTCTGGCTTCAAAACCCAGCCAGCCTCCTCCCTCCTTCCAGGAGGTTCCACAGGAACCTCCCCTCTCTAACATTCAGTGGGAGGGGCAAATCGCTCTCCCCACCAACTTCGTTGGTGTGGAGAGTCCCTTAGACTCTTCCCCACAGCTAGATCAGCAGGTGGTTTTTTTTCTTTTAAAAAAATAACAGATGTCATCAGAAAGGATCAAGATCAGTTCAAAATAGACCTAATGAAGTCATCCAGACTGCTACAAAGCTCTGGAATACTCTGGATTTTCTAGCAAACTCCAAAATATCCCCCAATTTTGCCTAATGCAGGGCACACTACAATTTAAAGAGTAGGTATAGAGTCTGCATCCCACTAAATTCTGTGGCTTCCTCCTGCAGCTCAGGAGACTTCCTGGAAGTCTGTGGTGGATTCATGATGAGTTGAGGTTTTCTGTTCAGTATAGAAAAGCTCTAGGATTCATGAACAAAGAAGTAATGTCTAACCAAACATTTTAGACCATGAATGGCTTTCTTAACACAAAATTCCTACAATATCCTGGAGTGGGGGGATGTTGTTAAAGTAATGAGATAATATGGTATGCAATAATATTATGAGGACAGCCACACATGCATGACAACAAAGAGCTGCTTGAAATGTAGAAAAGGACAAATATATCCCTCAAAGCAATGTATTATTTCAGCCATGGGAAGTGGATTCACCCATTCATTGCTCTGCTACCAGCTAAGAATATGACCGTATCTCCCTCCATGAACCATCTCGGGCCCTCCGATCTTCTGGCCCTTCTCTCACCCCTGTCAGTTTCACAAGCTCACCTGGTGAGTACAAGGGAGAGAGCTTTTTCCTCTGTGGCTCCCCGACTCTCCCCGACTTTTATCTCGCCTGACGTTTTAATTAGTTTTTAATTAGTTCTTTTTTTAATCATTACATGTAGCCCACCCATTGTCATTGTGTTTGTGATTATTGTAATTTTATGTTGTTATGTATTCACATGTTTTATGTAATTATGATGTTGTTGTTATTGTTCATGTTTCCGTTTTGCGTTTTTGTTTTTTCTTTATTGTAATTGTTGTTCGGGCTTGACCTCATGTAAGCCGCTCCAAGTCCCCATCGAGGAGGTGGTGGCGGGGTATAAATAAAGATTATTATTATTATTCTATTAATCCCAGTGATAGAAAGGAAACAAGAGGTGGAAGACTGGTGTTTGACTTAGATTTGGAAGCGTTTGTGACTACTTACTTCCCTATGAATCTGATGAGGCAGAGTGAACTTTGACTGTTGCGACATTTAAACTGTGTTTCGGCCAGATTAGAGTCCCCGGTGGCTCAATGGGTTAAATCCTTGTGCTGGCAGGACTGAAGACTGACAGGTCAGCGGTTCAAATCTGGGGAGAAGGCAGATGAGCTCCCACTGTCAGCTCCAGCCCCTATGTGGGGGCATGAGAGAAGCCTTCCACAAAGATGGTAAAACATAAAAAAATTCAGGTATCCCCTGGGAAACGTTCTTGCACATGGCCAATTCTCTCACACCAGAAGTGACTTGCAGTTTCTCAAGTCGCTCCTGACACATAAAAAGCCTGTAAATTGGGATCCCTCCCCAGATATTTTCAATAATAGATGCCTTAAATGCCACTCCATTTGGCTATGTTGGTTCTGGTGGATGGAAGCTGTAGTTCAAAACAAAATATGTGGACAGCCACAGCTATGCAACCTTGCTGTAAGTCAGTGGTCCCCCAACCTGTGGGCCGTGAGAATGATAAATCTGGCCCGTGAACCTCCTTCCTCTTTATTTATTTATTTAATTTTATTTCTGCTTCTTTCTGCAGAGCTGACCAGCCCCACCCCTTTTGGTACTAATGTTGGAGAGTGGTCCCTGGTCAAAATAGTCCCCGGTCAAGTGGTCACTGGTCAAAGTGGTCTCTGCTAAAGTGTCCCCTGGTCAAGTGGGCCCTGGTAAGAAAAAAATAAGGTTGTGAACCACTGCTGTAAATAATCACAAATGTTCCAAAATACTACCATGTTCCCAGTGATATATTTCCAAAGGAAACCTTATTTGAATAAGTGCTGCATTCCTGGATCTTCTCACAGCTTGGAGAAGCAGGATGTCCATCATGCTAACAATACCCTTTTGCCTTCAGAGAATTTAGATGGTTCAAGGGAAGTCTGGCACCTTTGTTTGAGGTTTATTTTTGAGCGTCAAGAACCGCAAACATGGATGTGGTGGGAAAATGCCATGCCTCTTTGACATTAACAGGATGTACATTTCGAAACACTTCATGACAGCACAACATAGCAAATGTGGGTAATATTTCCTAATAGCCACAATAGTCACAAAATAGAAAGGAAATGAAAGGCTATAATTGCTAAGGATTGATATACACCTTTTGGAGGGTACAAGATGCAACCTTATTTTGATTATGTTTGCATATTGAGGAGGATGAATTGAAGAGGTGTATACCTCTATTTAAATAGACATTTGACAATGGTTTCTTTAAAAATCACAGCCTTTTAAAAAAGAAGAAAAACCTGGGATATGGAAGTGTTTAAACATCATTTTTGCAAGTAAGTGTTAAATCCAATAAAGTCTTTTTTTTTACACAACCCAATCAAATCCCTCTGCTCTGGTGCTAATTAATGTTATCAAGACATAGCAGGATTATGCTGCCTCCTTTTTATCTCTGCGTGACGAGTAACTTCAAATATCTTTCCTTCTTCCTTTAACAGTTGGATGTCATTTGAAAATGAAGCAACAGCAGCAGCTATTCTCAGCAGAACTGTTTTAACCCTCCCTCTGGGGGCTGATGTAAAATGAAATATGTGCTCTGCGTTTTTCAGCATAGATTTTATGTAATCATAAATTTTTCCACATGAATTGAAAGGCTGCAAATTAGCTGGGAGAGCAGATTCCTGGATGTGTGATCAGGTAGGAAATGGAATTGAGGAGTTTAAAAGGCCTTTGAGGGTCTTTTTTGTGGTGTGTTTTGCTTTTGGCCAAAGGGAAAGTGCCCTCATTTGCTTTGATAGCTGTTATTGTTTTTCTTCCTTAAATGGCTATATATGAGTGTACTGCTGTGGAGTATCTAAATTCATGTGACTTGCTTGGGTAGTAAATATTCACTATCCATTAAAAATAATTTGCACCCAAATTCAATCCAAAAGACTTGGAAGGAAGCTGCAGATACTCAAATTGAGATGAATGACGGTTTTACATTGTACCGAGGATTTCCCCAAATACTTGCTTAGATAGAGGAACAAACACATTTTAAACAATATAAAACAACCAAAGGCAGGTGAAATATGCAGGTTCTTAGTGGGTAGAAAACAAAAATAGAGTAAACCTACACATATTTCATATTAAAGGCTGAAATAGATTTAAAAGATTCAATAGAAACTAAATTGGGTAGCCTTTACCCAATAGACCAGATTTTCTCAAGCTGTTCTCCTCCAGATGTTTTGGTCTTCAGATCCCAAAATTCCTAACAGCCAGTAAGCTGACTGAAATTTCTGGGAGCTGAAGTCCAAAACACCTGAAGGAGCACAGTTTGAGAACCCCTGCAATAGATAACGGAGATGTGCCTTTAAGATAAATATTGCTTCAGCTGATCTGAAATCCTCATCTTTCAGTATAAAATCCTGCTGTTGAATGTCAAAATTCAGTAACTTCAGAGACCTAATTTAATGTTCAGGGGCAAGAAGTACAAATGCCACCCAACATCCATAGCTGCCATCTTGTCTGCCAGTCAACAAATTTAGAATGGGGCAGACAGCAATGGGAGGCTTCCGTTGTCTGGTGGCCAGAGTAAGCACCCTATAATAATATAACAATACCTTTATTTTTGTATCCTGCCACCATCTCCCTGAAGGGACTCGAGGCGGCTAACATGGGGACCAAGCCCAGTCAAACAGAGATTAAAATATAACACAGTATAAATTACAAATACAAAACATCATAAAAACATAACCATTATTAACAACCAATAGCCTACTCCAACAGTCATTCAAAGAAAAGATTCCCCTCTTCTCCACTGTTGCTTTCTAGGATCAGTTGGATACTTGCCTTAAGAATTCAGGGAGAGAGCCCCCATCCTTTTATGCTTTAGCTGGCCTAATAAAAGGAGTTTCAAACATGAAAGGAAGTTTTGCTCAAACATGAGTTTTGGAGAAGGCCACCACTACCACCTTTATCGTCAACATTATTATCTTTGTTTTCTCTGACCTGTAATCTAGGCAAAAGACATGTTGGAAGAATCCACACACAATGACTGACAAATCCTCAAAGCCCCCAAATCTAGATCCATTTAGTAAGTCTCTAAACTAACTTCAGATGCCTAATTTAATATATTTATTATTCTAATGTATTATGTTGGCTACAGGAATACCTTTTTGGTACAGTTGTTATGACTAACAAGAAGATGAGTTGTTTGTGGTGGAGGAAAGCATTGCTGTATATGTGTTAAACAACTTAAGAGTAAACACATGTCTTAATTACATCACAGAGGCTAAAGACGATTTGTAAGGCCATTAAAAATAATCAATAGCTAGCTTTTAAGTGATGAATTAATTAATAGACTGTAAATGTTGAATGTCCACTTTGGCTGCCTGGCATGCATTTTGACTTCTCATAACATCACTGACTAGTAAAAAATTAATGTCAATGTTAATAGCAGCTTTGAAAATGGGTCAATTCTTGTCTGGCACAGGAGACTAACTGTAGCATCTAATGACACTCTATAGAAAATAACTTCTCTCCTGGCATTCTCCTTGCAGTATATAGTATTGAGGTCAGTTGGATACTTGACTACACAGAGATTAACCAATGTTGGTGTCAGGTTTTAAAAAAGTTTTTAAGGATAACATGAATAAAGAATAGTGGTAAAAATAACTGAATGATTCCAAATGGTCCGCCATAATAATTGTAGTATGTATACATTTGTTTTGCTATTTTATTGTAGTAGACTCTCAGTTAACTAACAGATGCCAGATAAATGTTTCTGGTTGATTTTGAGTTACCATTAGAAAGAGGCCTGACCAGTACTATACTCTATACTCTACCATTATGTTATGTGACATGTCTAGCATTCCAGAAGGCCAAATGAGACACAGATGGGCTGAAGGCAAAATGAGAGATTTATTTTGCAATGACCAGGGACAATGTCAGCAGAGACACCCCACAGAACTGACATACCAAAATTGCAAATACGTAGCATTTTTTTGGGGGGGGGGGTTGACATCTATTCAAGTCTACCATGCTGATTGGCTCAGAAAATGTCTTGCTAGGATCCATTTTCTAATGCCAGAGAATGGTTCCAACACCATATCTGGTTGATCATTGCTGTGGTTGGAAACTTTAATAAACTGTCATTGAACTATTTTGAAGAGTGTGTCCATTAATTGATCTGCCTCACAGTGAGGCACGATAATGGAAGAATGGAGTGGGGCAATCAATAATGAGATTCATATTCTAGTTCCAATTCATACAGTGGTGTGAGTCCAGATAAACAATAGGTTTAAGCACGATCCCATTGGTTGTTGTGAGGGTGGGTCTGGTCTGGGGGCATAGGAAAGGAGGTTTTCCCAGAGACACTCCAGATCATATTAGGTAAAACAGAAAAAGGACCCCCCAACTGTGTTTTCCCCAAGCCTCCTTATGAAAGGATTAGGATAATTTGGGGAATCATTTCCTGCAGTATTATTATTATTTATTTCATTCACTTATACCCCGCCCTTCTCACCCCGGGGGGGACTCAGGGCGGCTTACATAAAGGGCACAATTAGATGCCCAAAACACACAACAAGTAATCCAAAAAGTACAAAATTCAACAATAAGTTAAACAACAATACATAATAAAAGCATAAATCCTAAAACAATCTCATGTCAGGGTCCATGTATCAGAGTCCATACATCCGTTCTATTCCATTTGTCATTGTCTGTCGCCGGTCCTTGGTTTAATTATCAGAATGACCAAAAGCTTGGTCCCACATCCAGGTCTTTAGTTTTTTCCTAAATGCTAGGAGGGAGGTTGCCGATCTAATCTCCCCGGGGAGTGCGTTCCACAGGTGGGGGGCCGCCACTGAGAAGGCCCTGCTCCTCGTCCCCGCCAGCCTCACTTGTGATACTGGCGGGGTCGAGAGCAGGGCCTCCCCAGAAGATCTTAAACTTCGAGGTGGGACGTAAAGGGAGATCCGTTCGGACAAATACAGTATGAGGTGTCATGAGACATCATTCCAAAGAAAATTCTTGAGAGGTTATTACAGGGTAAAATGGAAAAGGCAAGGTGGTACTGTGTCTCATAATTCATAATTGTGTGGTCTAATTTTCAGTAAAAATACCATAAACTCTGTATTGACATCTGTATTGACCAGTGAAGAAAATGGAGCTGTGAACTGGCTGATCACTGGGACGTCCTTGGGGTTTATCAACATTTGGAGTTGAGGAATACTTTTTCAGAAAGAAAAAGGGCAGATGCAAACCTCTCAAGACTCACCTTCCCCACTGAAACAGGAGAAGAGGAGAGAGGAAGTGGAGACAACGTGTACCCCAGTGACATTGTCATGAAAGCAGATGCTGTCAGAAGCAGATTCGATTCATTTCTTAAAATACTGTATTCATATAGGGTCTGAAAAAACAAACTAAAAGATGCCTCTAAGTCTGCTGTAAGCTTACCAACTTCCTGGACAAAACATTTCTGAGAGATAACTGTATTCTTTTTTTTCTCCATTGGAAACTGTAAATTTTTAAAAAGACTTTAAAAATTGAATTAATGGAACTATTATTCAGGAATTTTCAGTCTGTTGGCGGAAACTGTCTGGTAAGACCAGCTACAATGGGTGAAGGTGAATTAATTTGTTAAAGTTTATGCTATAAGAACTGTGAGAACTAAAATTATTCAGCATATTTAATAACTCCATAGCCATAACATTCTGGGACTACATGGAACCTATGGACTGATTCCAAACAGGAAATAAGAAAGGAAGTAACCGTAGAGATGAACCATAGAAATAAAACTATAGAGAAAACCATAGAGCATGAAATATAGCTTGAACTACAGAGAACACGGAAACAACTAAACATCTTAGAAAATTAGATTTCTGCGGGGTTTTTTTTTTAAAAAAAGACAGCTTGACTACAGAAATGACTGCAATATAAACAAGACCAAGATTCAAAGATCAGAAAGACAGAAACTTCTAAGATCTCTTCCATAACAAGATCTAATGAGAGAAATCTTGACGCGATCAAGAATGATTATAGATGGAATGAAAAATTTAGAGGCAAGGATTGACAAGACTGACACAGGCTGAAGATTATTTAGATAAAAGCCAACAAGAGATGAAGAAACATATGCAACACATGGCAGACACAATGGCAGAAATGGACAAATTGATCAGGTTTATACAATCACTAGGCCTTCCCAAGTTTGAAGAAAAAATATAATATGGTAATAATTATATATGGACCAACTGACTAGGCTTATACAATTGCCAGATCCTTCCAAATTTGAAAAAGAATGGCAGTCTTTTATTAACTATTTAAAAGAAGAAAAGAAAATGAAAATAGCGTCAAGGGGAAATTAATAGTACAGGGATGTAGGAATAACAAGAAAATAAAAAATAGAGAAGTTAGTGGCAAGAATAACAGGATCCCCAATGACATCCAAGGGATCCTGGAAAATTAATCTACCAGAGATAAGAAGTTTTATGACAAAATAGTAATTTTTTTATCATGAAGAAGACAGCAGAGATATGGTAGGAAGCATTAGTTAGGCTTTCTATTTTTCATTTCTCAACTTTTCTATCTCCCCTGTTTCAAAACACTGTACACCCAGATTTCTATCCTTCCATTTTAGATTAGAAAAGAGGTGTTTTTTCTTTTCTTTTTAAACATCATATAAACTTTTTTTGCATTAGATAACAATGGAAGAAAATGAAAATGTAAGATGTTAAAAATGCTCCTGCTCTATTCTTGTACCTTTCCCCATTCCTCATATATTTGCAATAAAATTATATGGAAAAATATTGAAATACAGTAAGTAAAAGCAAATAAGGACAAACATAATTTAAACTTACATTTCCACTAAAGTGATTTTATTTTAGTTTGTATTTCAAATTTTTGCTGGTTTTTTGAGAGTTCTGGTTTCATGGGTTTTGGTTACCTGCTGTTGTGAGTCAGCATTCTGACACCATACCTACTACTAGTAGTGGGAGAAGAAGAAGGAGTGATGCAGAAACAGAGGAGAATCAGCGCCAGCTGAAACGCATTCGTGACATCTTTCTGGCTCCCAGTGATGAAGAAGACTTTGCAGGATTCAGGCCAGAGGAGGCTATGGAAGCAGATTACAGGGGAGTGAAGAGAGTGGCTAGTGATTCTGGCAGTGAGAGTGACACTATGTCTAAGAGGCTTAGAGACACAGCAGATAACTCCAGTGATAGTGAGGATGAGTTGGAGGAGGCTGTAGACTGGACTCTGGTTCAGAACATTAGAGACATTTGCAATCAAGCAACATCAAGTGATGATTTTGAAGGTTTTAGGGATAATGGGAATGAGAGTACTGATTGGCAGGATCAGGCACTAGAGCAAAGGTGGCAGGCTTGGCGTGGTGTAGATGCTTCAGCTGCGGGAGCAGAATCAGATGCAAGCAATGAATCTCATTCTTCTGATAGTGAATAAAATGAGCACTCTGGGACCTATTCCTTTGCAGACGACAAAGTGTTGTTTCGTGTTGTTCTCTGCCTAATCTTGTTTTGGATTCCCAGTATCCTGTTTTCCCTGCCGTGCCTCGGACCTTGGAACCTTCGCTCGTGAGTGTACATCTGGCTTCTTGACCCTTGGAACTGACTGACTACACGTTTGCCTACCGGATTTTGCTCCATGCCTTGCAACCCTTAAAGACTGTTTGTTTTGTATTCTGCTCCTAGTTCATCGTATCTCCTGTTATTTCTTGGCTGCAATTCAAGCCTGCTTATCTAGCGTTTTGTGTTCCTGTTTGAAAACATCCTTTGAACTGTTTGCACTGACTTTTAAAGTGCCTTATTAAGTTTGTTTTGCATTAAAATACTACTATTTTGCACCTCAACTGCTGTTTAAGACATTCTGTGTTCTGTGGGTCACGACACCTGCAATTCTATTGTATTTATCTTTTTTATTACTGTTTTGTTCTTGCAATTTTAAGACAATTGAAAAGCCAATATGCTAAAAAAAGCAAAAGGTTGTTGTTATACTAAAATTGAAAAGTTTTAAATAGGAGGTGTATCTTGGACCCATCTACAAAATCTGCATTTAACTTATGTCAGGAAATAAACAAAAAGAGGTAAAGGCAGATACAGATATCTGCCCCCATGTATTTTAATCTTATGGTCCTGATCTTATTCGAATTTTACTTTATTTTAGATAAATACCAAATGTTATACATTTCCTCCAGTCTTAATTCTTCTACCCTCCTTGGCTTTCCTATCTTACTGAATCTTCTACAGTAAAAGCCACTTACTCTAACACAAAGTAACAAGTTAAATTAATTAATCTATTAATACCAACTTGAATGTCAATCAGGAAATTATCTGAGCCGCAATGGTAGAAAGCCTAATGTCCCATAAACGAAACAAGTTAATTAACTAGTTATTTTAGATATCTGTTTGTATGTGATTAGGAAAGACAAGCAAATTTAGCACAGGATGCATCTTAGCTTGAGATGCTGGTAAATATTATGCTTGTGTTTGCCACACATCAAGATTTTGTTTAAGTTCCTGGAGTGTGTTGCCATTTTTTAAAAATATACATTATCTATATATCACCTCCCCCATGGATTTCAGAAACAAACAAAATAGCTGGAAGAACATGGGCTCATTGCAATATACAAATAGAATGGTACAGACATCTTGTGTAAATGCAGATATGGAACACAGAAAAAAAGAATAAATATGACTTTGTCACCTTTTTGTGGCTAGAAGTACACCAACATCACCTTTATTATTTTGTATATCAGGAGTGAATAAAGTGCAACCATTTACAGGTTTTTGGATTGATGCTAGTCAGCAAAGCCAAGGGTGAAGGCAGAGAAACATCATCTGGTCTGGGGGTCATAATTCCCCCATAATGTTCTGTAGAAGAACCCATTCTGTATGCAGTGATACAAAAAGTAACTTCTACTGTAATTGGTGGGAGAAAATCTATCAAGCCAAATAGCTTCAACAGACTGGACCCCTTCTTTGCTTTACTAGCTGTAGCATATAGAAATGCCATGTTTAGGTTCTCAATGTGCTAAATTGAAACCTCAGTTTACTGTGTTCAGTGTTCCAGCATCACAAAATTATGGATCAATAGGCATAGTATTACATCCTCCATTGCCCCCAGTTTTAAAGTAAACATACACAGTGTAAGGAGGCAGTCCTGCATGTTTTTTTTTTAAAAAAAATCACAGATTTAGAATGTCCTGATAATATTGAAGAAGCACCTACTCTGGTGGACATATTTCCAGACCTAATTATTTGATACTTAAGGGCTTTTTAAATAATGTATTGATATAGGTTAAATGCCATCCTAGTCCCAACTATGGAAAGCCCATTGAATTTACATAAGTGGTGACATACCATTAACACACAATTCAGTGGATCTTTTTTGGCTGGAACTAGTTATTGTATTTAGCTTTCAAGTTCAGGGACATACCTTGCTATCTTTTCTTGTTAAAGTATCTTTAAAATAAAATCTGCCACTGGTGAAATTTATTCAGTAACTGATCAACTATGATTGCTTCATTTAAGAGTGAGTTCATATTGGTCTAGGTCAGGGGTCCTCAAACATTTTAGGCAGAGGGCCAGTTCATATTCCCTCAGATGGTTGGAGGGCCGGACTATAGTTTGAAAAAAGAAAAACAAATTCCTAGGTACACTGCACATGTTTTATTTGTAATGCAAAAAAAAAAAACAACATGAAAGAAGAATACAATATTTAAAATGGAGAACATAAACCAACATAAACTTCCCAGTATTTCAATAGGAAGTGTGGGTCTGCTTTTGGCAGGTGAGATAGTCAAGTTAAATAGGATTATTATTGTTATTATATGCTTTCAAGTTGTTTCAGACATAGGGAGACACTTAGTCTAAAGTTAGGGTGGAGGCCAGGTCAAGGGCCTTGGAGGGTCACATCTGGCCTATGGGCCTTAGTTTGGGGATCCTGGTCTAGGTCCAATTATACTTCAATTTTAGTTATTCTCAGCCCTTGTTTACCACCTACTCAAAATAATCTTCTGGGCAGCTTGTAAAATTGTAAAACACTAAAAACTAAAACTCAAATTTATGAAAGACTCCCACATTGTCTGAAGCAAATAGATAAAATAAAACAGTATCCAGAGCAGAAAATGAATTACTGGTGGCCCAAAAAAGTCTTAATAATAATAATAAAAACATCCTTTAATGCTCTTTTAAATGCCCACAAAAAATATGTCTCCATCCAACAGAAAAGAGGTCTAAGTGGTTTGATGTCAGCTCTGACTGGCTGCCAGCTTTG